CCCCGGGGGGGGACGGGAGGGCAGGTTGCTGGGTTGGATCTGGCCCCCGGGAGGCCTTGGGGGTGTGGGGATTTCGCTGTTTCTCGGGCAGAGCCTATTTGGGGAAACGGCATCTTATTCCAGAAACTGTCTTAACGTGAGTCAGCTTTGATTCGGATTTTCTCATGGATGTGACTGTTCTCTTGGTCCTGCAGAAACGTCCCAAAGACGAAAGGCAGCTTCGCTTGTGAGAACAGCAGTCGGACACTGCTGGTGAGGTAGCTGAGCTTTTGCAGGGCGATGTTTGCATATTCATCCGTCCTCTTATCACGGTTAACCATAGCAAACTGTCTCAGAGTTTGAGCAAACTATTATTTTTATTTTATTTTATTTTTTTGAGTTGGAGTCTCACTCTGTCGCCCAGACTGGAGTGCAGTGACCGCTCCCGGCCACCGCAGCCTCGACCTGCTGGGCTCCGGCGATCCTTCCGCCTCAGCCTTCCGAGTAAGCTGGAACTACAGGCGCGTGCTACCATGCCCGACAAATTTTTTGATTTATTGTAGAGATGAAGTTTCACCAAGTTGCCCAGGCAGGTCTCGAACCCGCGGGCTCAGGCAATCCACTCACCTCGGCCTCCCAAAGCTCAGGATTACAGGCTGAGCCACCGAGCCCGGCCCAAACTATTATTTTTAACTCATGTCCAGCACTTGAAGTCCCAAGAAAATCATCTAATACACTAAAATTATCTTTCTATAAATGCAAAAAGTAAAACAAAACTCCCATAAAACTACTTCAAATAGCTTCTCCAGACATGACTTAGCCGTAGATTTCTCTAGAACTCTTGACTCCTAACTATTATTAGACCCACAAATATAGCTTTAACTTTCATTTGTTTCTTCTAAGTTTGCAGGTCTCCCAGAAAAAAACCCAGGGCTAATAAAGTAGATTCTGCCAGTTTCCTTAATATCCATTTTGTGATAATGACTGCTAGCCTTCTTTTACAGCTGCTGTGAAGCCAGATTGAGAAATGTCACATAAAGTATACACACACCTCTAATCTGTAAGGCTAAGATGGGGGAAAAATCCTACTTTCATGAGCTGGGAGATATGTAAAGAGGGCTCAAGACTAGGAAAAAAGCCTTCTTAATGGATACTTCTTGGTTTAATATTGCTAAGGATAGTGTTTAAAATTTTAAAGAGCTTTATTGTCTTTCTGTGTATAAAATTGCCAAAACATTGGAAAATATCAAAAAAGTACAAAAACTGAAATAGATCATCTGTAATTCTATCACCCGGAGATACTTATTAACATTTAATATATTTCCTATGGAGTTTTTTAGTTTATAAGTTCATATATACAATATATATTTTAAAACAATACAACTTACAGGTAATGCATTTTTCCACTTAAATGTGGACTTGTTGTGGGCATCTTTTTATACGAAGCATAAATTATGCAAAGTTTTTCTTTAAGTGCGTGAATTATTGACTTGTTTCACTCAGATATTTGTGGGAAATGGGGAAGAGCGTGATAATTAAAGTGCAAAGATAATCCTCTGACTTCTACTCGGTCTAGTCTTCTCACTCTCAAAACTGTTCCGTGCTGTTTTTTCTTTCCAAGTAGATTACCATGCCAGAGAAGTGTAACCAATTTAACAGCAACATAAGTAAAAGCAGTCAGAGGGAGCAGAGGGTCTGGCACTATGATTCCTGAACCTGTCTGGTCATTTGAACCACCTGGGAAGATTGAGAACACATCTATCTCCTTCACCCCATCCCAGGAGGGTAAAGAAAATGAATTCCCTAGGCTGGGTGACCTCTGGTTTGAGAATCTCTAATCCAGAAAGAACAAACAGTTCTTAGAGCTGTCTTAGAGATCCTCAGATCCAGCCCTTTTATTTCCCAGATTGGGAAACAGAGACACCGCCCCTCTCCCCACTCACAGGTGTTTGGAGCATTTAACACTCAGCCCAGTAGCTGGTCAAGCATAGAGGAAGCCATACTCAGAGAGTGATCTGATCTCTTAATACTGTTTTCTTTTTCTACATATGACAGCACCTCCCGGGTACTGCACTGGCTACATTCAGTCAGTGCAAAAATAGAACTCATGCATTTGGGCCCGGGGACGGGCATCTCAGATCCAGGTGATAATCCTTCTTCCTTTTACGTTCCAGGATGATCCAGGTTTTAGACCCACGTCCTTTGACAAGTTCAGTCATGCCAGTGGATGTGGCCATGAGACTTTGCCTGGCTCATTCGCCACCTCTGAAGAGCTTCTTGGGCCCTTACGATGACTTTCAACGAAGACATTTTGTGAATAAACTCAAGCCTCTGAAACCGTGTCTCAACATAAAGCAGGAAGCCAAATCGCAGAACGACTGGAAGTGCTCACACAACCAAGCCAAGAAGCGGGTTGTGTTTGCAGACTCCAAGGGCCTCTCTCTCACCGCTATTCACGTCTTCTCTGACCTCCCAGAAGAACCAGCGTGGGATCTCCAGTTTGATCTTTTGGACCTTAACGATATCTCCTCTGGCTTAAAACTCCACGAGGAGAAAAACCTGATTTTAGATTTCCCTCAGCCTTCAACTGATTACTTACGTTTCCGGAACCACTTTCAGAAGAACTTTGTCTGTCTGGAGAACTGCTCTTTGCAAGAGCGAACGGTGACGGGGACGGTGAAAGTCAAAAACGTGAGCTTTGAGAAGAAGGTTCAGATCCGTATCACTTTCGATACCTGGAAAAGCTACACCGACGTGGACTGTGTCTACATGAAAAATGTGTATGGTGGCTCAGATAGTGACACCTTCTCGTTTGCCATTGACTTACCCCCCGTCATTCCAACTGAGGAGAAAATTGAGTTCTGCATTTCTTACCACGCGAATGGGCACGTCTTCTGGGACAACAACGAGGGCCAGAATTATAGAATTGTCCACGCGCAGTGGAAACCTGATGGGGTGCAGACACAGATGGCTCCCCAGGACTGTGCATTCCACCAGGCATCCCCTAAGACAGAGTTAGAGTCCACAATCTTTGGCAGTCCCAGGCTGGCTAGTGGGCTCTTCCCAGAGTGGCAGAGCTGGGGGAGAATGGAGAATTTGGCCTCTTATCGCTGAATTAAGCAACCTCGTGACTGGCCTTCGCCTGTCATATTCCCCATGCAACTCTAGGTCTGCGTTGTTCAATATTAGGAAATCTGTGCTACTTTCCATCAGTAGGCTTAGGTGTGAGCGTTTGAGGCCTGGCTACAGAAGAGAAAGCCACTTGAGAATTTAGTGTTGGGGTCTAGCCACACAAGTGATGATCCCCAATTTTGCTTTGGAGGATCAAGTAACAGCCTGGGAACTACTTTCATGAAGGTAATACTTTTTCCGTGCCCTTCCTCCTTCCCTCACGATTCACTAGCTTCCATGTCGGTCAAGGACAAGTTGAGGAAGGTCAGCTGATGGTGATAGAAAGCTGTGTTAATGGTATGAGGAACGTGTGAAAAGTATACATAGAGGGCTCTGAAGCTTAAGTCAGAGCGGGAGTGGGAGGTTTGATACTCAATTGTTGGTGAGAAAACGTAAGGTTATTTTGTGATTTTAAGTTGGTTTTACAGTTCTCAACTGGGGAAATAATTGGTGGGGGGGATGGGGGGGTTGGGAAGATCCATTCTGCAGAGTCTTGTGAAGAAAAGCCAAATAACTTTGAAGGGTGTTGGATCATATTGGGGTGAAGCCTTTCCACTCAAATGTGATCCATCAAAAATCATGATTCAGGGAAAGATTAAGCAAATCTGGCTTTACAGTCCTAATGTTATATGTGACTTTGTGATTGAGACATCATGCTTGGGATTTGCTGTTTGTTTGTTTGTTTTGTTTTTCTTTTGAGACAGAGTCTTGCTCTGTCACCCAAGCTGGAGTGCAGTGGCACCATCATAGCTCACCATAGTCTCAGACTCTTGGGCACAAGTGATCTTCCTGCCTCAGCCTCCTGAGTAGCTGGGACTACAGGCACATGCCACCATGCCTGGCTGATTTTTTAATTTTTTGTAGAGATAGGGGTCTAGCTATGTTGGCCCAGACTAGTCTCAAGCTCCTGGTTTCAAGAGATCCTCCAGCCTGGGCCTTCTGAAAGTGCTGGAATTATAGGCATGAGCCACTGTTCCTGGCTTTGGGTTCTTGGTATAGAATGCTGCCTTACAAAAACCTTGCCATCATCAATGACTGACAACACACAGGGACTCCATGTCATGTCAAAGATAGCTCTTTGCAAGTGCCTTCATTACACCAGAAAACTGTTGTTGCTTAACCCAAATGTCTGAATGGTCATTGGATAATCCACAAGGCCTCAGAAGAAGGTCCTCTCTGTACACAGGCATTCCTCCTGCAATACCATGGTATCTTTGAGAGTGTTGTCAGTGTATACAACTCACATCCTTCATATTGAAGGTGACTCATTTTTCTGCCACACTTTTCTGACGTGCTGTTTGAAGTGAGGCCCTACACTAGGATTCTAATGGCAAGAATCCAATATCTTGCACATAGGTTTAGAAACCTATCTCTTGCCTACTTTTGTCTTATTGTTTTAAATGCCTTTGAAGTAAAAATGCTTCTTTTGTTTTTTAATGGATGTGAATTGTTTTGGATGTGTTGTAATATACTTGTTTTTGTGTGTGCATAAATCCATTCTGTAAGACCTTAAGGAAAGGCATCCCAGAATGCTTGCTTCTATTTTTGTGCACATCCATTGAGAGGCGTTAAGACAATGGAGTTAATTTTAACACGTGTGATATGCCATGCTGGATAAGTACTATTGGAATAACTCTGCTGTGACAGCATTTGAAACTTGGCTAGCATCCTTAATTTTTCTACTGTAAATATTTCTCTCTCTTCTGTCTATCCTTTATGAGCTTCTCACTTTAAGAATAAATGTGTTTGATATAAGACCTGAGTATATTTTTCTTTCTCAAAGCCACAGCCTAATGAGAAACTCTCAACTGACATTGTACTGCATTATTTAGGAACAACTGAGTAAAGTTAGTGTGGACCAGGAATTGAAGTCACCTGAGGGTTTTCACAAGGTGAGCACACTTCCTACCACTTGACCCTTGGGGGCTGGTAATCAGGGCCAGTGGCTTAAGCTGCTGTGACTGCCCCCTGACTGTCCCCATCTGAGTTTACTTCTCGTCATACACACCACACTCTCTACTGGGTCAGGATTATCTTGGAGGCCACATCTCAGCTTTAAAATGGGGGAGGAGATGGTGTGGGAAGGGCAGGAGTGGCTTCTGCCTCTTGTGATCTGGTACCTTCCTGAAGGGGCAAAACTTGGAACCACACAGAGGGGCATAGAAAGGGGCAGTAGACATCAGTCCTGGACTGAAGCATGAAGCGTAGCTTCTGGGGGTGAGAGGCAGCAGCTCCATGAACCTAAGTTGTTGCTCCGGTTCTGCCTAAAATTTCAGAAAGTCCATCTGCATGATATATCAAGGACCAACATGCTAGAAAGGTGCAATTATAAAGAACAAACCTTTATCATATCATAGCATCCTCTGTGTCGGAGGCTGTAAACTATAGGCCTGAAGGCTGTATCTGATGTATTTTTATACATTTTGACACACAAGATTTTTTTTTAAACAAGAATTTATTGCCAAGGTAGAACAATCAGCAAATTGTTTTTTAAAAACATTAAAAAAAGGTCAGGATTTTTTCTCATGGCAGCTGTCCCCCTTAGATGGGCATGCTGTCCTAGATGGGTCGCACTACCTTGTTTTGGCCACAGTCCTCACCCATGGCTTCAGTCTTCTACACTACCTGTCTACCTCTGAAGGTGATGGAGTTTATTACTCCATTGGGTTTCCCCTGGCTCTCTATTCGTGCTGATAGTTGGGTGGAGGAGAATGCCCTCTTTCTAAGAGGTAAAGAAAAATCAAACTTGAGTCCGACAGGGACCTTGAAAACCATGGTACTCAAGTGCCTAACCTTGTAAAAGAATAAACTAATGGTCTGGCACAGTGGTCATGCCTGTAATCCCAGCACTTTGGGAGGCTGAGATGGGAGGACTGCTTGAGCCCAGGAGTTCAAGACCAGCCTGGGCAACATAGCAAGACCTCATCTCTATAAAAAAATTAAAAAATTAGCTGGGCATGGTGGCATGCGCCTGTAGTCCCAGCTACTCAGGAGACTAAGGCGGAAGGATCGCTGAACCCAGGAGGTCAAGGCTGTGGTGAGCCTGAATTGTGCCAGTGCATTCCAGCCTGGGTGACAGAGTAAGACCCTGGCTCACAAAACAAAGCAAAACAAAACAACAACAACAACAACAACCAAACAAAGATTCAGACAGGCAAAGTAACTTATTTGAAGTCCTGTGTCAAGTCGAGTTGGCTGGACAGTGGCCTTGTGCTTAGTGTCCCTCCCTCTGTTTCACTTCCTCCTGAAGTCTCCCATGGAGACCCTCTCTCTGGCAGCCCCATCCCCCCTTTTAAAAGGGCAGCCATTTCCAGGCAGGCCTGACTCTGGCCAGCTATTAATGGTCACCTGTGCCAGCTTGATCCAATGTTGGTATGTCTCTGGGCTGCTTCTGAAGGAGGAGCTGGCCAAAGAGTGATGCCCTTGGGCCTTTACTATCGTGGAATTTACTGGAACTCATACCCTGATATCTCACCTAACAGCAGAAGCAGCTCTGCTTTTAAATTTTCACTTGGCTGTAATCCCAGCACTCTGGGAGGCCAAGGCGAGAGGATTGCCTGAGTCCAGGGTTTGAGACCAGCCTGGGCAACTTGGTGAGACCTCATCTCTACAATATATCACAACTTGGTGAGACCTCATCTCTACAATATTAGCTGGGGGTGGTAGCGCATGCCTGTAGTTCCAGCTATTTGGAAGGCTGAGGTGGAAGGATTTCCTGAGCCCAGCAGGTAGACGCTGGAGTAACTGTGAGTGTGCCACTGCACTGCAGCCTGGGCAACAGAGTGAGACTCTGACTCGGGGAAAAAAAAAAAAAATTCATTTGAGAGAATGGCTTGGATTTGGAATGCATAATGTTTGGATTCCCCCAAGAGGTTTAATTTAGTTATTTAAGGAAAGACTCTGTTATTTTCTAAATTGATGTCTCTTTTAGTTCATTCCCAAGTTGAAAGGCTGGTGATCTCTAGTGTGGGGGTGAACTATGCATCTTTATCAATGTTAGCCCAAAGTGCCTGCACAAGTTTGGGTGGCCCTTTGACCATCAAAGAGAGTCTCTTAATTTTCCAGATTCCTCACAGAGTTTTCTAGCAGCTACTGGGAGCTGTGACCTGAACAGACCCTCTCATTAATGGGCAAGGATCCCAAACTCAGAACAACCCCATGTATAGTTTTGCTGACTCCTGGCCTCCTGACCCTTCCCTCTTTTTGTCAACTACTGGGTTTGGAGGGTCCCTCTAAACCAGTGGTCCTTAACCTTGGTTGCATATCAGATTCAACTGGTAAATTTTAAAAAATATTCCCCCTGCCCTACTCAAGATTCTCATGTAACTGGTCCAAGTTGTGGCCTGTGCATTATACAGTTCTGAAAACCTTCCAGGGATTTCCGGTGTGCATCAATTTGAGGAATTCTGATTTAAGCTGTGTGAAGTGTTTACAACTGTCCCAATTCAGAGAACATATGTAATGGCTCAGAGGATTCCTCTACCATGTTTTTTTTTTTTTTTTTTTTTTTTAAACAAATGATGAAATGGAGACACAGAGTGGTTAAAACTTGCTCAAGCTACAGAAATAGGAGAACCTGGCCTCCTGGTTTTTCCTAATATCTCCGTCCTTGCCCATATACCTCCTGCTAACATAGACTTCTCAGTGTTACTAATTTTTTCTCTCTTTTTCTTTTCTCTGATTTTCTGTATAAAGGGGTAGGTTAATGTGAATCCCTTTGGGTGCAAGTAACATGATCTCCTGACTCCACTAACTTAAACAATAAAATTTATTATCTCACAGCACAAGTCCCAAGGTAGGGTGTTTTCAAAGTTGGCTAATTCAGTGGCTTAAACTCAGGTGACTTCCATTTTTCATTCTGTCATCTCATTACTTTTGATTGTCCTTGTGCTAACTTGCTTTGTAATTATACGATGGCTGCCACAGTTTCCAAGGATGATACGCAGACACAGTAGCGCCCACCGGGAAGAGTTTATCTCTTCCTTGTGTTACTTCTTTTTAATGGGTGAGTAAACCTTGCCTAGAAGCTCTTCTTACCTTCCACTGTAGACTTGCGGACGTCTCTCCCACATTTCACTGATCAGAGTTAAGCCACAAATCTGTACATGAACCAATCTCTGGACAGGGAAATGGGACTTCATGATTGACTCAAACTGAGGCAGGGTAGCTAGCACAGGTTAGATATAGATAGATACATTTCCCATAGATAGGTTTAAGGAAGCATTCAGACATTTTAAAAATTACATTTTACTGAAAGCCAAGCTGGCAACCTACCCCAAACCCCTTGGCAAATCAAAAGAAAACCCCATAGAATGTAAGACCAGGACAGCCCAGCCTTTCCATTCATGGTTTAGCATAATAATCACTAAGAATCTTTCAGGAAGGCCCAATACCACTCTTTAGCTAAGCAAAGCCATAGAAATAATAATAAGGCCACCTTTTAGTTCAGGAACTTGTGAATTGGAAATGTCTGGCAGGTCTCCTGCAAAAGACAATGTAGTCAGAAAAAGACCTTCCCTCCCCTCCTCACCTTCCATCGGAAGCAGAGAGATGTCAATCTCCAGAATGACAGTGATCCGTGTCCCACCCTCTTTGCATATCAATCATTGTGAAGGTAGATCAGGTCTATTGAAAAAAGCAAAACGTGTGGTTTCTCTTGCCCATGCCTGGTCTCCCTTTCTTTCCTCTCTTCTGTCTCTAAACTTTGCTTCAAAACTTGGCTGGCCGCTCTAAAATTCAATTTTAGAAATGAGCCAAAACATTCACGAGTTTTGCACCTCACCCCAACCAGTTCAGCCAGTTCCTAACAGGCCAACGGAGGACTAGTACTGGTCTGCGACCCTGCGCTGGGGAGCCCTGCTATAGAGGAAGGGAGATACTGGAACTCTATCACACGGCTCTCCTTGACATAAGTGGTTGAGGCCCATTGTTTCAGCAGCAACTAAAAAATAATTATTCATGTGACCAAGGTAATAGGAGTCAACTTTTTAGTCTGTGATTAAGGACAGAATTGAGATCTCTAGAGGAGCAGATGGGCCACATTACTTTTCACTTCTTAAGAGATTGGGCGTGGAGTCAGGCGGAACTGGGTTTAAGTTTCTGTTCCACCAGTTTTATGGTACTGGCTTCACCAAGTGGCTTGATGTTTCCAAACCTCGGTGCTCCCATCTTTAAAATGGGAACGATAACAATTCCTACCTTCCAGAGTGTTTGTGAGAATAAAGTGAGATCATATAGACGAAATACTTCACAAATTATTTCACCAGTAATATGTGATAAGTAAATATAAAGTATTGCTATTGCTAATGATAAGAAGTTTTCCCACACATATTTCTTTTCACAGTGGTGTTCTGGTTGGAGATGAGTATCAGCGCTAGAGATTCTTGTGTCAAATAAGGACTTAGTGCTAATATTAGTATTCTGCATTTCTGCTTGAGAGAGTACAGTGTCTGAAATAGGATTGTAGTAAGAGTCGCTCATGCATCCCACAAATATTTGTAGAACACAAACTATGTGCTTGGCACTGAATATATAGTGATGAACAGAACAACATGATTTCTATTCTCCTGGAGTACAAGTACTGGAGACGTTTACATGCCTCTACCCTATCACTTCATAGTGACACCCCAGCTGGGTAACTTGGAGCAAGTTGCAGTAACACTCAAGCCTCAATTTAATCCTCTGTGAAATGGGTTAATCATTTACAAGGTTGTTGTGAGGTTTAAATATTTATAACACTGGCTAACTCTCTTTTTTTTTTTGAGTCGGAGTCTCACTCTGTCACCCATGCTGGCGTGCAGTGGCATGCAAATGGCTACCGCAGCCTCGACCTACTGCGCTCAGGTGATCCTTCCACCTCAGTCTTTCAAGTAGCTGGAACCAGAGGTGCACGCCACTGTGTCCAGCTAATTTCTTTGATGTATTGTACAGATAAGGTCTTGCCATGTTGCCCCGACTGGTCTCAAACCCCTGGGCTTAGGCAGTCCTCTCACCTCTGCTTCCCAAAATGCTGGGGTTACAGGTGTGAGCTACCATGTCTGGCTAACAGTAGCTAACTCTTACATAGCCCTTACTATGTGTCAAGCACTAAGTACTGTGCATATGTTAACTTATTTAATTTTCACAACAGTCATATGAGGTGGTTACTCTTATTAATCTTGTTTTACAGAAGAGGAAACCGAGGCACAGACAAGATTTGTGACTTGCCTAATGCCACACAGTAAGTATTGGAGACAGGATTTGAGCCCGACTTAAAGTCTGTGGTCATATCTTCTACATTACACTGCTTCTCAAAACTCTTAGTTAGAGTTTATCTTTTAATTAGAGTATTTTGTCCATTTGTATTTAATCCAATTATTGGTATAGTTGAGGATGGATATAATTTTATATTTTTTTCTATTTGACCCACTTGTTTATACTCTTTTTCACTTATTTTTTGTCTTTTTTTGCATTAAACTTTTTTTGTTATTCAATTTTTTTCCAGTTTATTAGCTTCTGGCTATATATTCTTTTCCTGTTCTTTTAGTGGTTATCCTAGTTATCACAACACACATCCTTGACTCTTATGGTATTATAAAAAATTATTTGACTACTTCCTTGATAAAGCTAGGACCTTAAACTTTTTACCATCTATCTATGTTTTGCATTGCTGTTATGCAATTTCATTCTAAATGTTTTAAGCCCCATGAGATGGAATTGTAGTTTTGTTCAATCATTTTAATTTCATATTTATCTACCAATTTGCCTATTCTGTTATTCTTTCCTTCTGTATTCCCATCTTGAATTATTTTTCTTTTGACCTGAAAAGAATCCTTTTAGTATTTCTTTTAATATATGTTTTTTGGTGAAGAAATCTCTCAATTTTTGTTTAGCTGAAAACATCTTTATTTAGCTTCCATTCTAATTTAATTTAATTTAATTTTTTAGAAAGCAGGATTTATTGAGATGACAGAAAAGCTCCCATGGGGCAGCGGGAGGCGGGGGGGTGTTGGACCCAAAAGGGTTGCCCAACTTCCATTTTAAAAAGAGAGTTTTCCTAGATGTAAACTTCTAGGTAGCAGTCTGGGTAAGGATTAGAAAATTCTCCACTATTATCTCCTCCAATATTTCTTGTCTCCCACTTACTTCTGTTTTTGGAACTCTAATTATGCTTATGTTATACACTTTTCCATTCTGCTCCACTATCTTATCCTCTATTCTCTATTTCCCATTCTTTTTCTGTCTGGCCTTCTGTTCACGTATTGCTAGCAACTTGTTTTCCAGTTCACGTAGACTCTCTTCTGCTATGTCTAATTCTGTCTTTAAATCCATTCTTACAATTTCTATTTGTTATCATTTTTTTTGAGTAAAATTTTCATTTAATTATTTTTGATAATTTCCCATGAACCTCTCTATTTTTTCATTTACTTTCTCTTCTTTCATTTTTCCTTAAAACATTTGTGATAGTTTGTTGGGAGCCGGCCATGGAGGCCCACTGAGTGTTAGGGATCTGGGAGGGACGTTGATCCTGAGACCACTAGGATGTGTTCGGGAGCTGTTGGCCCCATTTCCTCCCCCTTTTCTACTTAGCACTATAACCAGAAAAAGCTCCTTTAAGCTCAAACATAAAAACTCTGAGACCAGTACAAACACAAGCTAACTTTAGAAGCATGTGAGTATAAAAGCCCACTGTTAACACTCTATAAAAGTCGTCTTCTGCTCAAATCTGAACAGTTGTCCAAGTCTCTCTCTCTCTCTCTCTCTCTCTCTCTCTTTCTCTCTTTCTCACAATTGCCAACACCGTCTCTACCTTCGGGAATCTCTGAACTCTGCTGGAGTGGGACTCCAGCAATAGTTATTTAAAAGTACTTACCTAGTAATTCCAATATCGGAATCTCCTGTGGGTCTGAATTTTTTTTTCTTTTCCCCATATTGCCTTGCCTCTTAGCATTCTGGTAATTTTTGATTAAATATAAGTATTGTGTATAAGAAAAACAGATATCATTAGTAATTTTAGGAAAATAGAGGAAAAGATAGAGAATTTCAGCTGATACACAGTCTTCCTTCAGAGAGCATACACCATTTCTTTTGCTAGGCAGACAGATTCAAGGCTGCTCACCTCAATCCAAGGAGGAATTGAGCAGAGTCAAGGCAAGGTTGCAGTCTTGTTAAATCGCTACCTTTGGTTCAACCCCACTTCTAACTTGCAGCCTTCTGAAGCTGAGATTTTTTTGTATACCCCAGGGATTCCCCTCCTGGGAGGTTTTGAACTCAAGTCCTTGTTTCCTCAGCACACCGAGATTGCCAAAACTCTACTCTGCTCTTCAGGTAAGCCTGTTAGCCTTTTTCCCTCTGCAACTTCAGAATTTGGCAAATATCTTGAGTAGAAAATGGGCCAAATGTTAGGTTCAGTTTCCTGCATACCCCCTGCTCACCAGGACTTTGACTTCTGAATTCTTAAATTTTTCTTCTTTCCAGCTCCATGAGGCCATCAATAGCACTGTCAATGCTATTGGCTTTCTTCCCTGGCAAAACCCAATTTTTTTTGTATCTTACTTTTCCTCAGAATCAGCAAATCAGGTTAAAAAAAATAGCTGGCCGGGTGCAGTGGCTCAAATCTGTAATCCCAGCACTTTGGGAGGCCAAGGTGAGTGGATTGCCTGAGCCCATGGGTTCTGGAACAGCCTCGGCAACTTGGCAAAACCCCATCTCTACAATAAATAAAAAATTAGCTGGGTGTGGTAGTGTGTACCTGTAGTTCTGGCTACTTGGAAGGCTGAGGCGGAAGGATCACCAGAGACCAGAAGATTGACGCTGGGGTGACCGTTAGCATGCCACTGCACTCCAGCTTGGGTGACGGAGTGAGACTCCAACTCAAAAAAACCCCAAAACAACAAAAAACCAAAAAACCAACAGCTGTATTGTGTCAAGTATGCCTAACCGTAAAGTCCTAGTTATTTTAGTAGCTCTTCACTGCTTTAAATGATTTTTTGATACTTTTTTCCTAGTGTTTCTAGTTGATCTTTGTGTAATATTGGTTTGCTTCAAGATACTCTATCACATTCAGAAATGGAAGTCTATCAGATCTTTGATTCTCTCTGTATAGTTTTTCTTTATTTCAAGACCTTAGTTGTCTCAAAAACTCTCCAATGTTTTTAAAATAATTTTTTAAAACTGGTTTTTCTAGTTATTTTCACAAGCTACTCTGCCATAACCTTGCATGTTATATCTTAAATAACTTATATAAAGCCAGTGCCTCATGCTATATGGATTTCTTCTGGAAACCTAAGAAGAAAGACACAAGCATAATTTGGTATCATAACAATTGAAAAGTACAAACAGAATCCTAGTCTAGATGAAAAAACATTTCCCCTCTGCCCTCTGGGAGCATTTTGGGGATTATTCTAATATCCAAAGAAATGTTTGATAGCACCCCTGCACAACATGACCAAGAAGACTTTGGCTGTGAAAGTGTAGAATTAAATAAAAATTAAATATAAAGTGTAGTTCACTCCCTAATTCTCCCAGTACAAAACAATTAAAAAATGCTAGATAAGATACTCTCTAATTATATTTTTAGAAGTATTGCTGATCTGGGAAGAGAGTAAGGACTGCCTTAAAGGCCTCCTTTGCAGGTCTTTAGAGAGGTGAATGAGTGCTAAGCTGGCATCTGTCCTGAAGTCACTTGTTTATCCCCAGATGACAACATTTGTTTTAAACAAGTATGATTGCTAAGGGGTCAAAAGACAAAAGATTAGGGCCCATTGAAATGTATGAGTGGTTAGGGGAGTGTCACAGTAAATATCTAGCATAGCTAGGACAGAGAAAGGATACACTCTCAGTAGGGAGAAATATATATCTTCTTACAAACTAGGAAAGATGCCTGTCTCAACATTAGTCCTGGGTGGTGTTGGGGGGAACTTCTCTTAAAATTCATAACCACAATCTGTCCCTTGCATGAATTTAAAATCTGAATTCACATTCCTTGTGTGCTAAAAACGTCATGCCAAGTATTGATTAAAAAATGGTCCCTGGTTGCAGTACCCATAGGTACTCAATAGCAGCAAACACATGTGCTCTCTGTAAGAGTGTGTCTTTAACCAAGGCCTCAAGGAATTTTTATCAAACATGAGTTTACACATGCAGCAATAACAACAACAACAAAAAACTTTTAAAAGTTGAGTGAAGGTAAAAGTGAGAAAGCTAAAAAAAAAAAAGAAAAGGAAAATTTTTAAAATGTAATTAAATAAAGGTAATGCAGAAATGGAAAAAAATTAATAAGGGTGTTGTGAACAACTTATTCTATTATCTCTGAAATTTTAGGTAAAATGATCCCAGTTCTAGAAAAATGTATTATATCAAAATGGTCTCAGAAAGAAATAGAAAACCTGACTAGATCTATAAATATTTAAGATTAATAGTTTAAAATTTGTCGCTTAAAATACACCCACAAATAAAGTATTTAGTCCAGATGTTTTTACAGGTGTGTGCATCAAACATTCAAGGATCAAATATTTCTAATATTATACAAAATATTGAAGAGCATATAAAAAGAGGGGAACATAGCCAGGCTCGGTGGCTCAACCTGTAATCCCACGCCTTTGGAAGGCTGAGGTGAGTGGATTGCCTGAGGCCATGGGTTCGAGACCCACCTGGGCAGTGAGACCTCATCTCTACAATAAATAAAAAAAAAATCAGCCGGGCGTGGTAGTGCATGCCTGTAATTCCGGCTACTTGGAAGGCTGAGGCAGAAGGATCGCCAGAGCCCAGCAGGTCGAGGCTATGGTGGCCGGGAGCAGCCACTGCACCCCAGTCTGGGTGATAGAGTGAGACTCCAACTCAAAAAAAAAAAAAAAAAAAAAAAAGAGGGGAACATTTCCCGACTCATTTATGGATTAGTATAACCTTGATACTGAAGCTTTATAAGGGCAGTATAGGAAAGGAAAATTATAAGCCAATCTCACATATAGGTAGTTGCAAAAATATATACAGAATAAATTATTTACATGAATCAAAAAATGTATAAAAAGTTAAAGTATTATGATCAAGTTGGATTTATTCCAAGAATGCAAGATTGGTTCAGTATTAGAACATAAATTATCGTAATTTGCTGCATAGTAAGGTTTAAAGGAATAAAAATATATAGTCAACTCAATAGATAACAAAAATTTTTTGTACAATTTTCCACACTAATGCAAAAAACTCAAGCTAGGAATAAGAGATTTTTTTTTAATTTGAAAAAAGGATATCTAACAATTAAAAAACTGGTTAAAATATGCCAAAAGCATTATACTATGGCAAACGTTGAAAGTCTTTTTAAGGTAACATCTTTTATTACTACTTATTTTAAACATTGCACTAAAAATTGAAGCCAGTGAAATAACACACGAAATAAATAAAAATGGGATTGGAAGGAGAGTAATGCAATTGGCATTATTTATAGATAACATATTTGCCTGTGTAGAAAATCCAAAAGAATGGAATAATAGAATAAATCTGATAATTTAGTGGGGTTATTGTATATAAGACTATGGTAGTTAGCCTACAAAATGACCCCTGAGGATTTCCACCTTCTGAGAGTCACATTCTCTTTGTACAGTAGAACACAGTAGAGATTATTGGTATATCACAGCCAAAATATGGTTATGAAAGACCCCCTGACTTTCATCTTAGTTCTTTCTCTTTTACTCGGATTCAGTTGTGCTGGGGGAAGCCAGCTGCCTTGTTACAAGAAGCCCTTGTTATAAGAAGCCTGACTCCACATAATAAGAACTGAGGCTTCTTGACAACGACTGTGTAAGTAGCTTGGAACTGGATCCTCCAGCCCCAGTCAAGCTTTCAGATGACTATACCCCAGCTGACATCTTGATTACATCCTTATATGTGACCCTGGGCCAAAGCCTCCCAGTTAAGATGCTCTTGAATCTATGACCTAAAGAAACTACAAAATAATAAATATTTGTGATTTTTAGTTACTAAGTTTGGGATAATTCCTTGTTTAGCAATAGATGACTAACACAAAGACCCCAAAGTAAACTGACTATCTCTATATACACAATGAACAAAAAAATGTAATTTTTTTTTAGAAAAAAGAATTATTTTACAATAGCAGTAATAATATAAAATTCTTTGGAATAAATATAACAAAAGCTTCACAAGATCTATATGGAAAAAATTATTAAAATGTACTAAAAGGCATTTAAAGAGATCTACAAATGAAAAACAATTATGTATTTATTAAGGAAGACTTAATATTATGAAGATATTTATCTTTTGTCTTATACAATGCCAATCAAAACCAAGATATCAGTAGGTCTCTCTATCTCTCTTTTCTTTAAAGGAACTTGACAAATTGCTTTTGAAATTTGTGTGGAAGTAGAAAAAGAACGTAATGGGGTGACTTGCTGTAGCAAATACCAAGGATGGACAAATTTCCAGTGGAATAAAGTATAGAGCCTAGAAAGAAGCCTATACATGTATGAAGAATTATTTTGTGACAGAACTGTAACTGACACTGAGTAGGAAGAGAATGGATTTCACAAAACTTGGCACTGGAGCAAAGAGTTATCTACATAGGAAATCATGAAACCAGGCCCCTACCACATGTCTTGTACAAAAAGCAGTCCCCAGGGGATTAAATAATTAATGAAAGGAAAAAATTTTGAAAACACTTTTTGGAGAAGAACCTTTTAGAACTTTGGAGTGGGAAAGGATTTCTAAAATAAAAGAAGAAACACAAACCAAAGGGAAACAACTGATTAACCATATTAGCATTTAAATTTTTGGTTTTTTAAGTCAAAAGACAATCTAAAGAAAGTGAAAAGATTAGCTATAAACTGGGAGAAGCCATAACTGACAAAGGATTAGTATCCAAAATATATAAAGAACTCCTATACTCAATAAGAAAAAAAACCCCACAAAAACCTATAGAAAAACATGCAAAAAGACTTGAATAGACATTTCACAGAATAGGAAGCATGAATGGTTAATAAACATATGAAAAGATTCTCAACCTCATTAATAACCAGGAAAATGCAAATTAAGACTATAATGAGTAACTGTCTCACATCTACCTGAATGGCAAAAATTAAAACCTCTGTAAACACAGTAAGTGTTGGTGAGCTCATGGACAATGGGTTTTATAGCCTGTTGGTGAGAGTATAAACTTACTTGGAAAACAATTTAGCATTGTAACGTTGAAAATGCATTGCAAATTTACTTTTAGGTATATATTCTACAAAGACACTCATGCACATGTATATCAAGAAATACATAAGTATGTTTATAATAGTGTCATTTGTAAAAGCAAAACTGGATACCAACACAAA